TTTGAAAAAAGTGTTTTTCTTATAACATTTTGCAAATAAATAATCTTTCTTCATAAATCTTGGCCAAAATGTATTCAGCTATCTTTTTAGTAAAAAAAAAAAAAAAAAAAAACCCAAAATTAGTTTATAACCACACATTATAATTTTTTTTACATTTTTTTTTACATTTTTATTTTTTTTTAGATAGTATTATTTTATGTGTTTTTTTTAACATACTGTCCCCCTAGCAGTACAGTGTCACCATAGTGTGGGGGTGCTGAAGATTTTTTTTTTGTCCTATTACACCCATAAGGGCTGTAAAAGTAATAATTTCTCCTTCATCTCTCTGGCTGAATTCCTGCAGCCATTGAGAAATACTGTGAGAGCTGTGATTGGTCTGTGATTGGTTGTGAATAGCCTTGTACCATGTGATCTCTGTGATCATTCACAGATTTCACACGTAGTAAGCAATGATGTCAGAAGTGACATCTTGCTTACTACTATTCATGTGATCACTAATTGGCCAATCAGTGATCACATGATCAGGACTTCACCCAGAGATCCCGTACAGCAATTGCGGTGCCGCGTGCTCCCAGGGAGGGCACACATGCTGAAAATGCGGGCACCGTTTATGAACTGCAACCCACTCCTGCACTGCTCCCATCCGGCCGTTTATATACATGGGCCGGACAGGAAGTGGTTAATGATGTATTAATAAATACAGCTGCTTAAAGTGGTTCTAAAGGCTTAAAGTTTTACCTTAATGCTTTCTCTGCATAAACTTAAAAAAAACTTTTGTGACCAGGATCCGCCCAGCCCCCCCAAGTACTTACAAGTACTTACCTGAGTCCGATCTCAGTCTAGGAGTGGGGGGCGAGGCTAAGCTTTGCTTTCTTTGTCTATGGATGCCGGCAACGTGGCTTGGGATCGAGCCGACACAAGTGGTCCCATAGGAAGCAGCTTCCTATGGCGACACTTGTTGAATAGGAGGAGCCTGGATTGCCGGTGGGGGACTCCAGAAGTGGGGGATTGGGGTTGCTCTATGCAAAACTATTGCACTGAACAAGTAAGTATGACATGTTTATTATTTATTAAAAAATTAAGGTTTAGAATCACTTTAACCTCTTCCTGCCAGCGCCTCCCGACCCTTTAAGAGTTTCAGACGCCGGAAGGCGGGGCAGGTGGGGCGTGGATTAGGGATCATCTGACCGCCGTGACGCGTTGTCACGGCGGTCACATGATCGAGAAAGGTCCCAATCGAAAGAGCAGACCGGGACCTTTCCGTGAGTACCAGATATGTGTGCTGGGAGCGCGCAGGGCGCACGCTCTCAGCACAAATGTTTTTTCTTACATGAATGCAAATGTGCGGCCGCCCGGTGTCTAGACCCAGACGCTGGGAGGCCGCACATTTGTGTGCGGCCAGCGTGAAGGTGTTAATGTGTGCCTTTTTTATCTGCATGGAGTAAAGCTTTAAAATTATTAGGTTTCATTTTCAATATATTTAGCCCCTGTAAATCTAAATGCATATCAGCTAGCAAAAATTAAAGTGGAAATCTGCCATGCAAGTGCCTCTTCTCTACACATAGAGTTCAAGGTTGAAAGCCCTGAACAAGCTGACCTTTTTACAGTTTCAGTCAGACAAATTATCACACACAATTATAAATGAAACCTTTTCATAAATATATTTTAATCTGTATTTTATTTACAGTGACTGTACTCTCTGTGCCAGGGCTGTATATAACCTTTTTCCTGGGGGGGAATTCAACCCTGGGAACCCAGAGGTAAAAAAAATTAGGTAGTGCACGCAGCGAATTATGCTAGTGGTAAAATTGCTGCAAACAATGGGAAGGGCTTAATACTTGAGTGTGTATCACACAAAACACAGAAGTGTGTAAGACACAGGGTGTAGGGGTTAGGAGTATGTAACACACAGCTGCAGAAGTCGGGAGTGCATATCGCACAGAGTACAGGGGACAGGAGTTCATAATGTACAGTATGCAGAGGTCAGAAGTGTGTTTAGCACAGAGAGCAGGGGCCAGGGTTGCACAACATACAGAGTACAGGGATCAGAAATAAGTAACACAGAGAGAGCAGGTGTCAGGAGTATATAAGTAATAGGATCAGAAGTGCATATTGCACAGAGCACAGGAAACAAGAGTGTATAAAACACAGAGAGCAGGGGTCAGGAGTATATAAAAACTAGGAACAGAAGTCATGAGTGCATATCGCACAGAACACAGGAACCAAGAGTGCATGACACACAAAGAGCAGGGGTCAGGAATGCGTAATGTACAGTAAAAGGGGGGTCAGAAGTAAGTAACACCCAGATTACAGGGGTCAGGAGTGCATAGTACAGAGCATATGGGTCTCGAGAGTGTAATACTGGAAAGAACAACAAATAATTACCCCCCCCCCCCCACAGAAAGCCAAAATCCCTTCCTCCCACTAGTAGAAATTCTTTCCCACAGCACAGCTCTCCCCTGATTAGAGTTTCCCTAGTACAGCTTCCTCTAGTACAGCTCTCTTCTCTCCAGCACAGCTCTCCTTTGTTTAGTTAAACCCCCCCCCCCCCCCAATACAGCTCCCCCCACCTTCTCTACCCTCACTACAACTCTTTCCCTCATAATACAACTTGACCCCCTCAGTAAAGCTCTCCACCCTCAGTACAGCTCTCTTCCCCCAGTACAACTCCCCCCTTCATAAAACACACTTCCACACACTGCCACACCAAGGCAGTTAAGAGTAAGGGAAGTCGTCCCTTGGTTGAGTAATATGACTGGAGCCTTGGAGGAACAGCCTCCATCTCTGTGAACTGAAGGGTTGAATGTGCAGCTCCTGCTTCAGGTGTCCATTGTAGCTGTTGCACTGTACATGGACATCCCCTTATCTATGTCCTTTTTTGGCTTTGACCCCCTATCCCTTCCCTTATTTACGCCCCTGTTCTGTGCACATATTTTTCATCTCCTGTCTTCTAGCATGTACATTGTGGTCTGCAGTAGAAATGCTTTGTACTGTTAACAAGGGCCAGCCCTATGAGTCTTATATTGTCACTTCAGGATATTATGCAGAAAAATTACATCTGTATCATACTGTTTTAATTACTTCGCTAATTAATTTATATTGGTTGTATTTAGACTAATGAACTGATCTTTCCTCTCTGTTTCACATAATTTCAAAACAAATAAATGTTCAAAAATGCATAAATGCACTTTACCAAGTAATAGATTAATTACTATCTCAATAATAAAGAAGCCCAGGGACATATTTGATACGGTTCACTCCAGGAGGATCCATTAATAGCACTGCAGCTATGGTTTGGCAATGATCCTAGTTAAATACAAACTTACATTAAATCAATCTGGCGTTTACTGCTACAATGTACTGTACTTGGTGCAAAGCAGAGTTTAAAGGCTGGAATACATTTTTCAAAACTAGTAAAACACTGATAAATTAATACAAACATTTTCTTGCTATAAAAGCATATGTCCACACCACCTACTTTCCCAGGATAAGAGTTTAAAAATTACACTGCAGGCATACACTGACCAGCCATAATAATATGACCACTGACAGGTAAAGTAAATAACATTGATTATCTAATTACAATAGCATCTGAAAGTGGGTGGGATATATAAGGCAGCAAGTGAACATGTTGTCCGTGAAGTTGATGCGTTGAAAGCAGAAAAAGTATGCAAGCGCAAGGATTTGAGTGACTTTGACAAGATACAAATTGTAATGACTGGACAACTGGGTCAGAGCATCTCCAAAACTGCAGCTCTTGTGGGATGTTCCTTGTCTGCAGTGGACCAAGTAGGAAGGAAACCAGTGAACTGGTGACAGGGTCATAGGCGTCCAATGTTTATTGCATGCACGTGGGAAGCGAAGACTGGCCTTTGTAGTCTGATCCAATAGAAGAGCTCCTGTAGCTCAAATTGCTGAAAAAGTTAATACTAGTTCCCATAGAAAGGTACCAGAACTCAGTGCATTGCAATTTGTTGTGTACAGGGCTGCGTAGCTGCAGACCAGTCAGGGTGCCCATGCTGACCCTTGTCCACAGCAAAAAATGCCTAAAATAGGCACCTGAGCATGAGGACTGGACCAAAGAACAATGGAAGAAGGTGGCCTGGTGTGATGAATCACATTTTTTTTACATCATTTAGATGGTCGGGTGCGGTGTGGGGAAGAGTTGGCACCAGGATGCACTATTGGGGGAGGCAAGGCGGCGGAGGCAGTGATCTGCTACTGACAGCTTGGTGGCAGATACTACAGCATACTTTCAGGAGTCTAGAGGACTCCATGCTTCAACAGGTCGAAAGGGGGGACCTACTAAATAATAGGTGGGTGGTCTTAGGTGATAATCGGTGTATATAACAGTGCCCAATAATTAATTTAAAAATGCTTTAATTTCAGTTAAAATAACCAACATACTCTCATCTTCCATCAGTTTAAAACTATTAGAGCAATTAAAGAGGAGCTGCAGGATGTTGTTCAGGAATTCAGCGCTTCATACACTGATAACTGAATTATTTACAGAAGACCCAATATGTATAGAGGGGATTATAAGCACATAGTATCCCCTTCTTCTTTCTTTATAATTTCTATATGATTTGCCAGCATGTGTTAGAGTGTAGTTTGGAAATGTACACACATATACGAGAAAGGCAGTGCTAGTTTCCAGTCCTGCCCTGCCATAGAAGTCCTACACCTGTAATGCCCTACAATTCTGCAGTGTTGCCCTTCCCTGCTAATCCCCTGTGCTGTCCTGTCCTGCCCTGTCTTGCCTTACAATGCTACAGTCCAACTGCCAACCTTTGAGGTAGATATCCACTTAGATATTGAATGGCCAGTATAACAGGTATGGTTGTATAAAGGCCACATTATGTCCATTATTTTCTGCATGCGTAAATTATGAACTCCACTGAAAATTCAAAAGTACAGAAGTTCAAGCCATCCGCAGTTGTGAGCCTTGAAGATCTAGAAACAGTGGAATAACACAATCTTATGATTTTTTTTGTACTCACCAAAATGTGGGTTTGCTGCCATCAACCCAAGTGTACAGACTCTGGCAGTCGCTGGAACTTGGGGAGTCATCATCATTTCTCCTGAGACCCAACCAGAAGTCACCATCAGAACTAGTGATGCTTTGAATGAGCTTCTGTATAAATCTTTGCTCTGCTTCAGACTTGATAATTATCAGGTAACCACCATCCCGTCTACATTCATCCTGAGCTTCCTGAAACGTCAGCCTTCTTGATGTATCATGAAAATAAATGACTTTGTAACATGGCTTCTGTGTCCCTTGTTTGCAAATAATTTGTCCTAAAACAAGAAACTAGAAAACTAAAGAACTAGATACAATATATTAGCAGTTTACATGACAGAAAAAGTGTTCTAATAATAAAGGTTAAATTGCCTTCTAAACAATAAAAAAATACAGTATATCAGTGAAAAATAATAGAAAAAATATTCAGTACATCTCTACAATAATGCACCTTTCCTCATGTGTTATCCCTTAAGTACAGTGTTGATATGCTAGAAGTCTAGTGTGCTCCTAACTTTCTGTCTGGGCTCTTAACAGTGCCTCTTCTGCAATTAAATTCCCGGCAGTGTTGTCAGCCCTGCATACTAGACTACAAGACCCCCCAGAGCTTGCTCACTGTGTAGGGAAAGGGCTCTAGGGAGATGTAGTTCTGGGGTACTCCTATATCAATAGAACCAGAGCTCCCAGCAGCTGTCGCTGCAAGAATTTTTCAGGTCTAGTATTGACATCACATGGAGAAATAATTGTATCTTGCTACAGGAACAAGGCAGTGATGCTGGGGCGTCCTCTAGATGGGTAGAGGGGGTTGGGGCAAATTTGGACTACACTGGGACAAAAAATAAACAAAATTTGCTTTTGTACAATTTTCAAAGTTGATTGATGCATCTGAATAAAACAGAAGAGTCTTAACTGAAGCTACTTAATGAAACCAAAAATTACTTTCATGTAGTAATGATGAGTTGTCTCCATCATTGAGTCCAGGGCTGTCTTTATGACAGGTTCAGACAAGTAGAGAGGATTTAGAAGACAGCATTGGCTGAAAAGCTGGAGACTGCTCCAGGAAAGTAGCACATTTATCAAGGCTAGAATTTTTTAACGTGGGCACGGTGAGGGCTTCCAGCCAAAAAAATCATTTCTGACTTTAGATCTGCTTTAAAGTTGAACTGAAGGCGAACAGAAAAAAATATACAGTACAGATTAATCACATGCAGTAAATGAGAGCTGTTTCTCTTGCCAAAAGATTTATATTTCTGTCCATCCAGCCCTGAGATTTACACAGAACACTGCACCTGGTCTTTCTGTGCTGCACTTTCATTTCTACTTACAGCTCCCCCACCATGTGACTGGAGAGTGAAAGGAGAAGCAGGAGACTGATGAGCTCATCTCGCTGATTTCTTATCCGATCAGTGTGCTCCTTGCACTTCAGGATAGCTCACTGGCTCCTTGTGCTGCTTTTTCTTTCCCTCTCTGGACTCTGCTGTACAGGCAAATTAAGGGGCACACACTGCTGGCATTTATGGATGTATTATCGATGACAGAGCTGCATTATTCTGTTTTTCATATTAGCCCGGAGTTCAGATTTAACTAGATTAGGAAAGATATATTCTCTAATGTGATATTCTTTGATATAATTACAACATACTACAGTGTAGCCCAACTTTTATCCATTGTTCTAAGAGTTATGTCTGATGTAGGTGCCTCTGTCTGCAGTTCTAGTGGCCTTTCAAAAGCATAACATTGCCCAGGTGAAGCAGAAAAAGTGTCTGGCCATTTGTATCCTCTGTGTTGTGTACTTGGATATCAATAAAATATGAATGTTTTAGCCATGACTGTCTGCTAAATCTTCTACTGGGTAATGGGCCTGTTATTATGACACAACGATGGCTCGCCATTAATACACAGGGATTATTGTGTACAACCTGCAAGTGGTAACTATAATACACAGTACAGTACATTTATATCTTCAGTATTTCAAATTTACCTCACTAAATTCAAACTTTTATATTTTTTATTCTTAAACTTAATATATAAATCAGGAAAATATATTTAAAATTACTTTACATGCCTTTAAATGGAACACAAATATTTACCGTACTATGAATATCATTGGAGAAAGTTTTTGGTCAGTTCTATGCAAACTGTTTTTTTTTTTATATAAAATTTTATTATTTGTATAATATATATTTTGTTATTAGAAATGAGTGGAGTTATTTCATAGCAAATGATTTTGCAGCAAAATTACCTAGTTTTGCTTTGAAGAATTGTTGGTGCTGATTAGATTAAATTTGCTTGAAAATAAACAGTCTACCTTTAAACTGGATTTTTACTTGTACTCATGTTCATGATTGTTGACAGGTAAGCATTACATCCCGCTGTATATGGCTTTGCGATTCATTCTGACACATACAGTGCCTTGAAAATGTATTCATACCCCTTGAAATTTTCCACATTTTGTCATATTAGAACCAAAAACATCAATGCATTTTATTAGGATTTTGTGTGATAGACCAACACAAAGTGGCACATATTTGTGAAGTGGAAGGAAAATGATAAATGGTTTTCAAAATTTTTTACAAATAAATACTGTATGTGAAAAGTGTGGCGTGCATTTGTATTCAGTCCCTCTGAGTCAATACTTTGTAGAACCACCTTTCGCTGCAATTACAGCTGCAAGTCTTTTTGGGGGTGTCTCTACCAGCTTTTCACATCTAGAAAGTGACGTTTTTGCCCATTCTTCTTTGCAAAATAGCTGAAGCTCTGTCAGATTGGATGGAGAGTGTCTGTGAACAACAATTTTCAAGTCTTGCCACAGATTCTCAATTGGATTTAGGTCTGGACTTTGACTGGGCCATTCTAACACATGAATATGCTTTGGCCTAACCCATTCCATTGTAGCTCTGGCTGTATGTTTAGGGTTGTTGTCCTGCTGGAAGGTGTACCTCCGTCCCAGTCTCAAGTCTTTTGCATTCTAACAGGTTTTCTTCTAAGATTGCCCTGTATTTGACTCCATCCATCTCCCATCAACTCTGACCAGTTTCTCTGTCCCTACTGAAGAAAAGCATCCCCACAACATGATGCTGCCACCACCATGTTTCACAGTGGGGATGGTGTGTTCAGGGTGATGTGCAGTGTTAGTTTTCCGCCACACATAGCATTTTGCTTTTAGGCCAAAAATTTCAATTTTGGTCTCATCTGACTAGAGCACCTTCTTCCATATGTTTGCTGTGTCACCCACAGGGCTTCTGGCAAACTGCAAACTGGACATCTTATGGCTTTCTTTCAACAAAGGCTTTCTTCTTGCTACTCTTCCATGAAGGCTAGATTTGTGGAGTGCACGACTAATAGTTGTCCTGTGGACAGATACTCCCACCTGAGCTGTAGATCTTTGTCGCACCTCCAAAGATACCATGGGCCTCTTGGCTGCTTCTCTGATTATTAAATAAACAAATAGTGCCGCCCTTCCTTTAACCGCCTCCCACCCACCATATAGTAATATGACGGATGCAAGGTGGTTCTTTAGTTCTGGGAGGAAGTCATATGACTTTCTCCCATTCTCACCACGCATGTGCGGCTCCGGGAGCACACAGCACGGCGATCGGCGTTGCGCTGTGTCCCTCACCGATCCACGGAAAGAGCCGAAGATGTTGGCTCGGTCATGTGATCAGCTGTGTCCAATCACAGCTGATCACATGTAAACAGGGAAATGCCGGTTATTGGCATTTCTCTTCCCACGAGCTGTCATGCTGACAGCTTGTGAGGAGAGGAGAGACGGTAATTGGCATTCCTAGGAGGGGACATGTACACCGATCATCAGAGCACTGATGATCAGTGTGCCCTGATGATCTGTGTAGCCCCAGCAGCGCCACCTGTCAGTGTCCATCAGTGCCAGCTCTCAGTGCTCATCAGTGCCAAATCAGTGCCACATTTCAGTGCCACATAAATGACACATATCAGTGCCCATCTGAGCTGCCTTTCAGTGTCACCCATCAGTGCCAGTCAGTGCCACCTATCAATGCCAGTCAGTGCCACCTATCAGTGCCAGTCAGTGCCGCCTATTAGTGTGCATCAGTGCCACCTATCAGTGCCCATCAGTGCTGCCTATCAGTGCCGCCTAACAGTGCCAGTCAGCGCCGCCTATCAGTGCCGCCTATCAGTGCCATATATGAGTGCTACCTTTCAGTGCCCATCAGTGATGCCTGTCAATGTCCATCAGTGCCACCTACCAGTGCCTCCTCATCTGTGCCCATCAGTGCCACCTATCAGTGTCCATCAGTGCAGCCTATCAGTGTCCATCACTTCAGCCTCATTAGTGCACATCAGTGAAGGAGAAATCTCACTTATTTACAAAATTTTATAACAAAAACTAAGAAAAAAACGTTTTTTTTTTTCAAAATTTTCAGTGGTTTTTGGTTTGTTTAAGAAAAAAAAAAACAGAGGTGATTAAATACCACCAAAATAAAGCTCTATCTATCACAAAAAAAATGATAAAAATTTCATATGGGTACAGTGTTGCATGACCGCACAATTGTCATTCAAAGCGCTGAAAGCTGGAAATTGGCCTGGGCAGGAAGGAGGTATAAGTGTCCTGTAGGCTAGTGGTTAAATGACCCATAAACAAATGCAAACAAATATAATGAGATATAGTGAACAATCCTAATTACAAAGTCTCTTAATAGTGTTGCTTCTTCAGCTTCAAAAAAAACTCCATAACTCTAAATCTATAACCAGCAATGTCAACAGGTTTTAATGAAGTTCTTCTTTAAGAGTTTCATACACCTTCCTGAAGAAGTCACCATCCTGGCATTGTGAAATGTGTTGTTGGTGTTGAATGCATTATCCATGATCAATAAACATGAAGATAAAGTCTCCAAGCACATCTTTTGCCAATAGGCATTCTGAGTGGAGGAGGAAGGATTAAAGGGACTGGTCACTACTGGAGGAAGATTCTATATACAAGATATACCCGCTATTATATGTCCAATTCAGGGGACACATGCATTTTGTTACCTAACTTTATGTGAGGTCAAAAACTCCAGGTGAGGGCACATCTGGTGTTTGTGGTGGTGGATTAAGTTTTAAGAAGATATAAAGTTATGGAGTTTTTTTTAAGCTGAAGAAGCAACACTATTAAGAGACTTTGCAATTAGGATTGTTCACTATATCATTATATTTGTTTGCATTCACATGTATTTTTGGGGCTTTTTGGAGTTTTTTTTAGCATTGATCACTGTATTGGTGTCACTGGGGATGTCAGTGACACCAAGTCAATTCCCCCCAGTGTTAGAATACCCGCCTCAGTCGCGCTATAAGTCGCTGATCACCGCCATTACTATTAAAAATAAAAATCCCAGTATATATACGGTCATTTGTAAACGCTATAATTTTCACGTAAACCAATTCATTTACACATATTGGGAATTTTTTAGCAAAGATATGTAGCAGAATACATTTTGGCCTAAATTTATGATGAAATTTGATGTTTAAAATTTTTTTACTGGACATCTTTAATAGCAAAAAGTCAAAAATATTGTTTTTTCCTCAAAATTGTCTGTCTTTTTTTTATAGCGCAAAAAATAAAAACCGCACAGGCGATCAAATACCACCAAAAGAAAGCTCAATTTGTGGGAAAAAAAAGCATGTACATTTAATTTGGGTGCAGCGTTGCATGACCACCCAATTGTCAGTTAAAAATAATGCAGCACCGTAACACAAAAAAATGGCCTGGTTAGGAAGGGGGGTAAATCCTCCGAGGGCAAGTGGTTAAAGGAAGCACGGCACTGTATGTTTATTTATTTAGATTTTGCACATGTTATGAGTATGTGTAAGTGTGAGCTGCTTTCTGGTTTGTAGCTATTAGTTATACTCACTAAATAAGTCCATATAATGTGTTATAATATTTTTTGGGCTGCTCGTGAGGATTAATTGGTTATATTTTGTGCTTCTCTGATTAATGCTCTCCTTACCCAGCCTGTCAGTTTAGGTGGACGGCCATGTCTTGGTAGGTTTGCAGTTGTGCCATACTCTTTCCATTTTCAGATGATGGATTGAACAGTGCTTGTGAGATGTTCAAAGCTTGGCATATTTTTTTTATAACCTAACCCTGCTATCATTTTCCTTCTACTTCAAAAGTATGTGCCACTTTGTGTTGGCCTATCCCGTAAAATCCCAATAAAATACATTTATGTTTTTGGTTGTAACATGACAAAATGTGGAAAATTTCAAGGGGTATGAATACTTTTTCAAGGTACTGTATAGAATAAAGATGAACGCATCGACAGTACAGTGCACCACAAAGCACAGATGTGAGTGACCCCTATATAGAGTACGGCATTGCCATGCAGGTGCGTTATTGGTTGCAGAGGTGCTTCCCCCCTTTTAGGCTAAATCCCAGGGTGTTCTGGTAGACAAACCTCTGACACTTCCAGCTAGTTTTGGAACTTGCTTCTAGCTCCCACCCCATGCATTCCTGTCTGTTCATCACTAAGATGGGCTGTCTCATAGGTATATAGTTAGTCTAGCTGAAAAAAGACAAAAGTCCATCCAGTTCAACCATTAAAAAAAAAAAAAAAAAAAAAAAGTTATAATCTTATACCCACAGTTGATCCAGAAATTTGCAGGTGTAAAGAAGGAGCCAACGAGCTTCAGCAGTACCAGAAAATGCTGAACCGTTGCCTGTCAAAGTGGTCCAGGATTCAGACATGCAGCATTTTCTTCTTTTTTTTTCTTTTGATGACCAAGGCTGGATTTTTATCACTGAAGCCTGTAGGCACACATATTTTGATACCCTAATCAGCACCCATTACCACTTTTAAACAGATTGTTTACCTGTTTTCTCTGTCTTAATATTGCTTAGAATATTGTGAAAATGCGTTAATGAATTTATATAAGATTATGATTACTGATACTGATGGCAAAAAATATATGCCTATAAATCATACAAGGAAAAGCCATCTCTTTGCTTCTTGCATATTTTTGCACATGCCTATTGTGCCTAATGGTAAATGCTCCTTTAGGTCAATCCATACCTACTGTATACTGTCAGATAAGGATTTGCACTATTTTTTCAATCCTTGATTTCAGAGCTGAAGGGATTCTTGGAAAGAAATATTCAGGCATGTGTAATGGGATCTAGATACCAGCAATTCATTTATACAACTTATTTAGACAGTATAGACTAAAAACGTTACTTTAAAGCAGAACTAAACCCATTGATTTAACACTTAAAAAAAAACAGTTACAGTATATTCCTGGCATGCTGGGAATGCTAACTGTCACATTTGCTTTTCCTTTCAACCAAACTATCAACCATCAAATGGCTGGTGTGAAATCGGATCACATAAGCAGTACCATGGCAGTTGAAAATAATAAATAGTAAAAAATAATAAGATGTTAGCTTCCTGGACTCAAAAAGATAGAAGGGTTTAGTTTTGTTGTTAAACTGTAGCAGCATAGAGAGAAATTCTGGAAAAAAAAATTAGATTTGAATATGTTAAAGATTGTATCTTGATCACAACAGTAGGATTGACTACCCCAAAGTACTAGAATGTCTGTCAATAGGTGTGTACTGGTAGCAGTTTTGCCATTTAAAAGGAACATACCTGGTTTATGCACCTTATCCTCTGGTAGGTAGCAGTAAAATGGAAAACAAACACATTGTCATTAGTATAAAACAATAAATTCAGCAACTTTCTAAATTGTGTACTTTATACGTGCTCCTTTGCCATGCTACTGACGGACAAGCACAGTGGTCCATGTCCCCATTCCCTTTGCTAAGTATTTTGTCCCTTAAGCTCCTCATACATGACTTGATTTTTCTCATACAGGTATTGAGCTGAGTGATAGAAAATCTATAGATTCCTTCATTCACGCTAAAAAGCAGCCATGACACTCATATGCAGTCATTATATGGCTGATAATGCAGGGCCATCCACAGCTTGAATTTCAGCTGATTTAACTGGAATTGGCTAAAATTTGAGGCATCAATGGCTAGCTTTATACTGATATTGCCTGGGTGAGTTATATCTTATTTTCTCATTTTTATTAAAATCAACAATTTTTCGGGATGCAGAGATATGTACAGGTCATACTGGTTGTGGTAACAGACTGCATCTCATGTAGTCTGTACGGCTCTAATGAGCCAGACACTTATTTGCTTACCCTCCCTATCTTAGAGAGCCAACCATTTACTGGTGCTTTGATGGTGCTATACCTTTGGCATTTTTTAGTGGAGTCTCATACCTATCATATACTTGTGGATTCTAAGTATGTTCTTTGTATCTTGAATCTTTCCTAAATACTGAAATTGCAACCAATAACTACAAAAGGACCTGTTCCAAATGGAAGCTATAGCTTATTTTCAATGGGCACAGATTTTAATTATTGCTCCCCCCATTTGACATGCTTGATGTACCATTTTTTCTTAATAGTATTACCAATGCAGATTTGTAGATCCGCAAGAGTTAATTACATTGACACATTCTGAGCCAAATGAAAATGCATTGGTTTTAATCAGGGGAACTTGAATGGTGCACATGTAAACATTGAGTAACAGTAAGGCTGACTTCAGGTATGAGTAACACACATTAAACCATTGCATTTTACTGCACTCTGTGTGGTGCACTGTCATGCAATTCAATGCAAATGACACCCCAACACACAAATACAGTAGGGGCTGATGGACTTGCATTACAGCATATTGCAGTGCACATAGATTTAGGTAGTAAAGTACTTTCTAGCAGTTATGTAATAAAACAAGGAAATGGATGACATGATTATGCGGCTTTTGAAACTGGGGGGGGGGGGGCAAAAAAAGAGTGGACCATTTTGTGCAGATCACTTAAATGTGTTAACATGTACAAATAAATAACAATCTTATAGGAGTTCAGTATGCTAACTTTTATTCCCACTGGAAGAAGCAATCAACCACTAAATTTGCTGGCAAAGAAGAAAAGAGCTGATGAGAACCCCCAATCCTGAGTGTCCTCCTTATTGCTTTGCTCATCATATCCTGCAGAAGACATCTGAGTTTGGCGCTTTATCTTTAAAGTGACCGTGTCCATAAAATAAAATTCACCATAAATTTCTCCCACTGCCCACACCACTTAATGCCTCTCCATTAAAGAGAAAGAGAAATCCTCCTATGTCTTTTCAGACGTCAACATTTTTGGGATCCAGGGATCT